TTTTTTTTTTAAGAAACTTTGGCTTGTTTTGTGAAGTTGGCTTTTAGCCACTTTTTTTTTGGTTTGTAGTAAAAGTCAAAAGTTGGCTTTTTTGAATTTTTTTTCATTTGGGAAGTTGATTTTTAGCCAATGGTGAAATTACAATTCTACCCCTTATGGGTCAAAATGTGTTACATGGGTGAAGTTATAAATATTTTAAACTAAATGGGGATAGTTTGGTCATTTTATTATGATTTGACATCTTAAACAAATATTAATCAAAAAAACCAAAAGTAACTTTTTACTAACTTCCCAAATCATTTGTCTAAAAAAGTCAAAAGCTTAGTTAAAAACTAAAAAATCACTTTTTACTATCTTCCCAAAATAGGCCTTTAATGACATTTCTTACAGGATTTTTGAGTAACTTTTCCATCAAAACTATTAAAAAATATAATTTACAAAAAAAAAAAATAATAATAATAATAAATTCTTCTTCTTTTCTTATCCACCCCCCAAAAAAAAAAAGGCACAAAAAAGAAAAAAGATATCACTCTTCCGCTTTAGAAGAAGCAAAGAAGATAAACATTCAAAAGTTGGCTTTTTTGATTTTTTTTTCATTTGGAAAGTTATTTTTTAGCTAATGGTGAAATTACAATTCTATTCCTTATGGGTCAAAATGTGTTACATGAGTGAAATTGTAAATATTTTAAACTAAATGGGGATAGTTTGGTCATTTTATTATGATCTGACATCATAAACAAATATTAATCAAAAAAAGTCAAAAGTAACTTTTTATCAATTTCCCAAATCATTTATCTAAAAAAGTCAAAAACTTAATTAAAAATAAAAAAATCACTTTTTACCATCTTCCCAAAATAGGCCTTTAATAACATTTCTTAGAGGATTTTTGAATAATTTTTCCATCAAAACTATTAAAAAATATAATTTAAAAAAATGAGAAGGCAAAAAAAGGAAAAAAATATATCACTCTTCCGCTTTCGAAGAAGCAAAGAAGATAAACATTCAAAAGTTGACTTTTTTGAATTTTTTTTCATTTGAGCAGTTGTTTTTTAACCAATGATAAAATTACAATTATGTCTCTTATGGATCAAAATGTGTTACATAGGTAAAGTTGTAAATATTTTAAACTAAATGTGAATAGTTTAATCATTTTATTATGATTTGACATCATAAACAAATATTAATAAAAAAAGTCAAAAATATTTTTTATCAACTTCCCAAATTATTTGTCTAAAAAAAAGTCAAAAATTTAGTTAAAAATAAAAAAAAACACTTTTTACCGTCTTCTCAAAATAGGCCTCTAATGACATTTCTTAGAGGATTTTTGAGTAATTTTCCCAGCAAAACTATTAAAAAATATAATTTACAAAAATGAAAAGGCAAAAAAAGAAAAAAGATATCGAAGCAAAAAGAGGAAAAGAAATGAAAAGAATTGAAAAGAAGAAAAGAACAAAGCTCGCAAAGTTGAAAACCCGGAAGGGCGGCCTTGGCAAAAGTTAGAGTGTAGAAGGTGAGGGTTAATACACGAGTGAACCCAAACCGGAACTACGTAAGGCTTGATTCCCATATAGAATAGAGAGTTTGATGCAGTGGGGTGACTAGCTAAAATAGAAAAATGGCTTTTTAAGTTATAATTTGACTAAAAATTTGAGGAAACTGGTGTGGATGCTCTAACATTTTCTACATATACTATCTAGTCATATATAAAGGTTAGGGGTATACACGAATCGGATTAGTCTGATTTTAAGAGTAAATTAGGAATTGAATAGTTTTTTACAGTTTCAAAAAAATTGAAACCGCAACCAAACTGTCAACTTGTAGAACCAAACCAAAACCGAACCATAAAAATCGATTTGGTTCAGTTTGGTTTAGTTTACGATTTTAAGAATTTTATATAACATTAAATATGATATGTATTTTATGTTAGTGAACAAATTAATAATAATTAGTTTAGTTAAGTTGGTTAGAATTTATCAATTTTACAATGATGACTAGGGTCCAAATCTTATAAGAAATATTATATTTAAATTTTTTTATATAAAAATATAAACAAATACATCGCGATCTGATTCAGTTCAGAACCATAATCAAAGCTTTGGAACCGGGAATCTGATCGATTTGAACGATTCCACCATTTTAAAAACCAAAATCAGAATCGTTTTTAAAAAAATCAAACCAAATTAACAATTTAGACCAAATTAAATCAATTTATTGATTCTATCGATTTTTTTGAACACTCTTAACAAAAATGATAAAAGACAGTCGATTAAAAATTATAAACGAAATCCGACGGACGATTCTCGATAAAGTCAATTAAGTACTATTATAGAAGATAAACATGGAAATATTATACATAATTACCTTGACCCCTTATAAAAGAAATTTACTAGAGCAACTAAAGCCCAACCAATCTAAATAAATAAATAAATAAATAAATACTAAAACCCACCTTTTAAAGATAAAATAGAAATTTTAGATTTTTCTAGAATAAAATCTTAGCTAGGTGGGGTGTTTATTAATTTATAATACTTATAAGCTTATATTTATTTTTTTAATTATGTTTGAATTAAATGTTTTAGGGATTTAATAGATTCACTTTATAGTTTAAGGATTAAATAGATTTTGATTTATATACTCTAGGGACTTAATAGATTCAATAAGAAATTAAGGGTCCGTTTGGGAAGGGCTTTTCCGGGTTTTTTCGGCTATTTTAGCTACAAAAAACAAAATAGGCTATTTTAACCGCAAAAAACAAAACATCACATCCAACCCATAATCATTACACTCTTCTCTTACAAAAAAAAAGGTCAAAAAACTCAAAAAGCCAAAAAGCCCTTCCCAAACCAAGCTTTTTAGCCTAGGCTAAAATAGCCAAAAAAGCTAAAAAGTCAAAAAACCAACCCACTTCCCAAACGGAGGCTAAATAGTCTTTGATTTTTTTTATATATTTTCCGGACTTGATAGAGTCAATCCATAGTTCAAGGACTAAGTAGATAATTTGACAATAGTTCAGGAGTAGAAAGTGAAATAAACCCTTTCTTTATCAACTTGTAGTGTATTAACTAATTCTGAGTTGATGACAGTGGGCTTGAAAATGTGAGTACTATACTATTTAAAATGGGTTTCACTTAGTTTGGAAAAAGTTTAGAATGTAGATTATTTTGAACGAGTTTGAAATTGTTTAACAGATTTGAGATATTACCTTTTAATCGGTTTCGTTTCAAATCATGTTTGGAACAAATACTATTTTAAGGAGTTTAACTTATTTAACAGAGTCGGGATATTAATTTGTAAACAAGATAATTTGAAGTTCAAGTGTGAGTTTGAGATGAAGTTCATTATGATTTGACTTTACTGGAGGGACATAAATCTCATATTCCTTGTCTATTGATATTGTGATGTTAGATGATTCTGTGATTTCAGAGGTTAGTGACTAAATTATTTGAAGTTCAAGTGTGAGTTTGAGATTAAGTTCATTAAAAGATTTGACTTTACTGGAGAGACATAAATCTCATATAACTTGTCTATTGATATTGTGATGTTAGATGATTCTGTGATTTCAGAGGTTAGTGACTAAATTATTTGAAGTTCAAGTGTGAGTTTGAGATTAAGTTCATTAAAAGATTTGACTTTACTGGAGAGACATAAATCTCATATAACTTGTCTATTGATATTGTGATGTTAGATGATTCTGTGATTTCAGAGGTTAGTGACTAAATTATTTGAAGTTCAAGTGTGAGTTTGAGATTAAGTTCATTAAAAGATTTGACTTTACTGGAGAGACATAAATCTCATATAACTTGTCTATTGATATTGTGATGTTAGATGATTCTGTGATTTCAGAGGTTAGTGACTAAATTATTTGAAGTTCAAGTGTGAGTTTGAGATTAAGTTCATTAAAAGATTTGACTTTACTGGAGAGACATAAATCTCATATAACTTGTCTATTGATATTGTGATGTTAGATGATTCTGTGATTTCAGAGGTTAGTGACTAAATTATTTGAAGTTCAAGTGTGAGTTTGAGATTAAGTTCATTAAAAGATTTGACTTTACTGGAGAGACATAAATCTCATATAACTTGTCTATTGATATTGTGATGTTAGATGATTCTGTGATTTCAGAGGCTAGTGACTGAGGGGTTGTTTGGGGTGTCCTAAATAAGTGTACTTTTTGTCTTTGTGTACTAAAAAATTGAGGAAAAAAATATGGATGTTTGGGTCAACTTTTGACTTTTTATGGAAAAATGTGTATTAAAAATTGTATAAATTAGTTTGTAGGGGAAAATTAGGATTGAGAGTTATGTAGCCGTAATTTTTGACTTTTGGTGAATAGTGATAACTTTTTAACTTTTTGAGTAATTTTTTGGCTTTTTAGCTTTTTTGCAAGTTGCCAAACTTGGCCTGAATTCAGGATAGTTACATTATGGATTGAGTAATTCAAATTCTTCTTTATATGTGCCTCAAGAATTAGACTATTAATGTACAAATCTTAGTGAATCAGCTAGTTTTGGTTGTTCTGTATGCATTTAGAAAATGTGAGTACCCAGCTAAGTACTCAATAACCTTTTGAAGAAGACTGAAAATTTAAAGGTCAAGATTTATCTAATTGAGTTGAGAAATTATCTAGAGACAATTCGTTGGTGGGTGGTGTTTCTTTTTTTAATTCCAGTTGATTGATTTGTTTATTTATATATTGGCCTTGTATAGTTTGAACTTTTTGGACCTAATTTTACTGTAGAGGAACATGTCCCATATAATTTGCATACTGGGTTTTGTGTATTAATTGATTCCTCAGTTAATCACTTCAATCCCAAGATTTTTTAAGTGTCTCTTAACCTTTTTCATTTTTCAAATTCATTTGTTTTAATTTATCAAAAAAAAAAAAAAAATTCATTTGTTTTAAATTACTGTTATAATTGCACTAGTATAAGTGTTATTAATTTATTTTGAGGATGGTTTTCTCAAAGAGTTGTTTGGGTGTAATCATTCAATTGTCTAGGCAATGATGATGTGGAAAAATCTAGAACCATGGAGAACATTGAAGACAAGGAATTGAACAAAGCATTTGAGAAGTGGAAGTCTAAAACATATGCTTTGACAGTGCCCTTGAGAATTGTTGCTTTGCGTGGCTCGATACCTCCTTCATGGGTCAAGGTTTACTTTTGTAGCTTGCATTGATCAATTTCTCTCGCTATATATATATACATACATGTACATCTTCTATCGTAATCAATTCTACTTATTCATCCAAAAAAAGGTGGGAAAAAATGTTCTATACCTTTCAACATAATGTGGCTTAGCTTCTCTTAGTTGTTTGTCCAATTGATCTTTGACTTCAAGACACATGCTTAGCTTCTCTTAGTTGTTTGTCCAATTGATCTTTGACTTCAAGACACATACCCTTGATATATTGAAATTTGTGCATTAATAGGAAAAACTATGTAATAAACTTGAGGTGGAGTAGCATGTAAGAAATAATGTATAGAGAAAGAGAGAGAATAAATTGTATGTATTATTATTGATTGATATATTGATATCTATTACAATGATTCATGATTCCTATATATAGAAGAGGGTGAGTTTTTTTATCAGCAACATTTAAAATTTATTAAAAAATGAAAAGAGAAAAGATATAAAGTGCTTAAGGGAGGACAAGAAGTCCTCCAAAAGGGAAAAAAAAAATTACCAATGACAAACAACCTTCCAATCTCTAGATTAAAGGGCTGTTTATGGAAAATTGCTTAAGTAGTGTTTGGTAATGTTGTTTGTTTCTTGTTTTATGAAAACATGTTTTGATTTTGCAGAAAATAAAAACAAACATGTTTGGTACAAACCTATGTTCCAAAGCATATTAAAAAAAAAAAAAATGTTTGGTGAGTTGCCAGAGTGGTTGGCCTGGATAGGGGTAATATGTATTTTTTATGCTTCAAATTTTAAATATTGGTGTCATTTATTTTTTGGAAACGAAAACAGTTCGCAAATGTATTTTATTTTTGGTTTTTGAAATCTTTAAAAACAAAAACAAAAAAAGTTACCAAAGGTGGCCCTTGTTATTCCATAAGTGTTATTTTCATGTTCAGCCAAGTGATTTATTAGAGAAAGTATCCTATTCCTTTTAAAAGTTCAAAACCAGAAAAAAAACTCTGTTGCAAACTCTAGTTGTACAACAATAATTGCTGTAGTAAATGTTATTGTTGTGGCTGCTTTCATTGTTCTTGCTATTGTTATTGTAGTCTTTATTTTCAAATCTATGCAAATTCTTCTAGGGTATTGTCATAATTTACTTCTTGGCACATAGGACTTCATGCAATCTCAAGGAAGGAGAGCGATACTATGTTCAGAGACATGTGGAAGTCTCGACGACATATTTTCTGATATTTCTTCATCTTTAACCAAAGGAAAGTTTGATCGTAAATCTGCTTTGGCAGCTGATATTGTTACTGTTGGTGATTCTTGGCTCAATTTTGCCATTAAAAAGGGTCTAATTGAGCCCCTACAAGGGGTGGAAGACCAAGATTGGTTTAAAGGCTTAAGCGACAAATGGAAGGTAAGGATACAATTCCTCTTGTTTTGGATGTGCCTTTCTGTTTGACTAGGAGTAGCGTTCAATGTGATCTATATGGTGCTTCTGTACTCTAACCATTATAATTAATGTAAAAAAAAAAAAAAAAAAAATCAATGGAAATGTTTTGTCAAATTGGCTTATAATATTGATAAATTATGCAGGGAAAGAAAAGTTCATAACATAAGCTTCGTCCAATAAATTGGGTTGGAATTGCCAATCTAATAAATTTGGTGTATTACATATATTCAAAATTCAATGCTTACCATGATATTTTATCACACTTCCATTTCTCTGTGTCGTTATTGTAGTGAAATTCAATGCTTACCATGATATTTTATCACACTTCCATTTCTCTGTGTCGTTATTGTAGTGACTTTGAGAAGAGCTGCATTGTATATTATTGAGGATGTCATTTTGTTTCACATTTGCAGGTCAACGTAGCTGATCTTCTCTAATTTTTTTCTTTATTAGAAATGCCTTTTAACTTCACAAAACTTGTTCATTACAACAAATATTTCTCATTCCGTATTTTGTCTTTGGAGCCACCCATCTCAGCAGTTTCATGTTTGGTGCATTTCATTAGGATGCCATTTCATGATTGCTAACATTCATAAATATGTGATGGTTGGATTCTGCTAAATTAATTTTCAATTCATTCCATATGTGGCTCTCTATCAAAGCATTTGCAGCGGGCTAATGCTTTGTACATTTAAAAGCTTTTTGAATATATTTCCAAAGCTCGCTCCAGTGATTGAACCAACTAAGTTGATTAACAACACCCTAGAACTACTTATCAAAATTTCACAACACCAGGAAACACTGATGCTTCAGTCATCCTAGTCTAGGTTTGAACTAATCTTTAATTTTTCATAACAAGGGGATAAGTAAGAAGGAAATATACTTTGTTTGCCTTTTCTCTTTCCATCATCTAAATAGAAGAGTTAGTGGAAAAATATGTAAAACGAAGATTAGGGTTAGAGAGAAAGAGGGGAGAAGCCAAGAATAATACAAGATATTGAGTCTCTATTTTTAGGCTCTTAAATAAATCTGAAGACCATAAGCTAATATTATGAAATACAATATGACCATAGTACTCTCAACTTAACACAAAATTAACATATGATTTCATATGGTGTCATAAATTGCCTCCATAGCAACAAATTCCGAATAAAATGATAATCAATCTCTATATGCTTTGTGCGCTTATGAAACACAGGGTTATTCTTGAGATGGTGCGGGCAACATCTAACAAATAGTGGTGTTTTCGTTCAGCAACACCATTTTGTTGGGATGTATGAGCACAACTTGTTTGATGTATAATACAACGATCATCACAAAATTTACTTACAGCAGATTGCATATATTCTAAGGCATTATTAGATTGAAATATCTTAATATGTTTCCCAAATTAATTGAAAATTTCATTATAAAACTTAAAAAGTATTTGGGGCAAGTTAAACCGTTGCCATAACAAAAACAACCAATTCATCCAAGAGTAATTATCCACAAAAATAAAAAAATAAAGAAAGCCATTAACAGTGGGAGTTTGAGAGGGACTTTCCAAGATGACACGCTTCACACTCAAGCTGAGACACATTACTCAAATTAGAAATAGCTAACTCAAGCTTGGCTAAGGATGGATGACCCAAGCTGAAATGCCACTGTAAGGGAGACATGGTAGCACTCAAAATAGCAGAAGTAGGATGAGAAGATCCATCCGCGTCCAGAAAATATAAGCCATCCTTCTCACGCCCCGAATCAATCATCCTCTTAGTCTAGAGGTCCTGCAAAACACATGAAGTGGGAGAAAATGTTACGGAACAGTGAGGAACCTTAGTTAATTGACTAACAGAAAGAAAATTAAATGGAAAAATGGGAACATATAGACTAGAGGGTAAGGAGAGAGACTGAGTGGGCTGAAGAGTACCTTGGCTGCTGGCAGGTCGAGAGGTGCCATAAACTAGTATAATATTATGGGTAACAGGATGAAGAGTATGAAAAAGAGAAAAAAACCAGAGATATGGGAACACTAGCGCCAGAGTCTAGGAGCCTAGGTTGGGGGGGGGGATTGAGCCATATAGGCAATATTACCTAAACTAGCCAATGTAGCGGTAGAGGATGAAGGGAGAGCAGTACAAAGAAAATGGACTAGCTTAGTAAGCTCACTAATTTGAGTGGTGAGTGCATTGGGAGAATCAGTTGGTTAAGAAATAGTGCCAAAGGGAAAGGATGTTGACTGAGAGGTTGGAGCATCCATAATTAGATTCACATGATCATGTTTACCATATTTCTGCCAACACTAGGGTTTATAATGACCCAAGGAACCATAATGAGCACACTTCTGATCAAAACGGGATGTGGAACTAGTACCACGCCCACCACCACCATGAGAACCATGAGTAGAACGACCATCACAAGAACCACGTGAACCAGTATGGGGTGCCACGGTGACTAGAATTGCCATGAAAACTCCCATTGGTAGACCCTCGGTCGCCATGGCTAGAGATCAATGCAAAAAAGCACAAGGACTGAGAGGAGGAATCAAATGTGGAATGACCTTGTCCCAAAGAAGAATGCAACATCTGAGAATAGGTATTTGCAACAGAAGGTAAGTCTCATTGGCGTGAATCTGATCTTTGAAATCTTGTCAATCAGAATCTAAGCCCAAAAGTAAGGATGCCATCATAAACTACTCCCAATATTACTTTTGTTGGGCCAAATCAGTAGTAAAGGGTAAACTCCTCCCAATATTTCTTCTTTGGGCCAAATTAGTAGTAAAGGGTTTGTGTTGCAATAATGGATCCCACAATTTCTTAAGGCCACTGTAACATTCTGGTAGAGGATGGCTAGACTATCGAGTAGCAAAGATCTATTCATGCAACTCATAGATGCGAGAAACATTACTCTAATTTGAAACAGAATCAACAAGGGAGTCCCAAATTTCCTTAGAGGTTTCACAAAATTCCACTGTAGTAGCAACATGGGGTTCCAAACTATGCCAAAGTCACCCCATAACACATGAATCCGCACTCAACCAATCATCATAGCCTTTATCATCGTCAGTTGGTGGAAATTTAGTAAGAGAGCGTGATTTCTTTTTGTCACGCAAGAAATTCTTAACTATGTGGGCCTAAGCCAGATAATTTAGACCTATGTTACTAGAAAACGCCAATACCCTAACGATTTATGTGTTCATACCCATGTTCTGAACATGATACACTTTCGTTTCAAAATGGTAAATTTAGTGATCCGAAACGATCCCAAAAGTTTTTTTCTATATATTTCTTTAAATGTTGCCTTAGGAGGAAAAAAAATCAAATATATGAAATAAAATCTAAGGTGAGTTAAGTTTTGACAAGACAAAAAAATAAAAAAATGGTTCATAATTTTCATAGAAATGATTTGCTACATGAATTTTTTTTTTTTTGATACCTAATAGTTAAAAGAAAATTACTCTAGAAATACCTTAAATTCTTAAATGTAATATATATATATATATATATGTCTACTCTTATAGTACCACATTTTAGAGCATATAGCGTACCCCGTTCCCATTCCCGTTCCCGTTCCCGTTCCCGTTCCATGTACCGGAACGATTCACATTCTAGGTAATATAGATTTAGACCATTTAATTTCTTAGTAGTAAATTAATAATAGATTTGGTTAACTCATCATTCTTAACCATTAAAGATCTTGCATCTGGTTTTGCCTCAGCCATGACAATGACTAATGGAAGAAATGGCAACACAAGGCAATGACCAATATTTACCAATAGTCAAGCAAAAATAAACCAAAGGAAAATTTTCTAGTTCCAAATTATCACTACTAGTAATCACCAAGCAACACTAAAACAAGAACATTAGGGGAAAAAAATAAATAAAAAAAAAAAAACTGGAACAGTGGTATGCCGAACAGAGTCACCAAAAAATCCAACGAAACAACAACAAAGCAGCAACACAAACTCAGAAATAGCCTCCTATGGCTATTTTAGCTCCCATAGAAGTGAATGCAACAATAAGAAACTCTAGGTAATAAGCTACATCGCTGATTGAAATATCACCATAAAAAAACTCGAAAAACATTCAAAAATTGAAAATTCACATCAAATGGTCCCAAAAAATTTCACAAAAACCACCATTAGCATCAAAAAGAGAAACTAACCCACGGAGGCCAATCTCGTCTATATGGATTGTGATGTCACAATGACGTCATCGTATGAAAGATAACGTCAGCACGTTGTTGTCATCTTAGGGTAATCTTGAGAGTCTGATGAACACTTGATAGAGTAGAATTGATGCTTTGATACCAAGTTAGAGTGTAAAAATATGTAAAACGAAGATTAGGGTTAAGAGAGAGGGAGTAGCCTAGAATAATACGATATATCGAGTCTTTGTTTTTAGGCTCTTAAATTAAACTAAAAACCTTCAGTAAATATTATGAAATACAATATGAGTATAATACCCTCAACACAAAAGTAACATACGACCTATGTTACCTAGAATGTGGATCATTCCGGTACGTAAAACAGGAATGTGGTATGCTATATGCTCTAAAATGTGGTACGATAAGAGTAGACTTATATATATATATATTACACTTAAGAATTTAATGTACTTTTAGAGTAATTTTCTTTTAACTACTAGGTATAAAAAAACCGTTTCTTTCTAAACAAACGGAATCAAGAGAAAAAAAATTCAAATATATGAACTAAAATCTAAAGGGAGTTAACTTTTGACAAGACAAAAAATAAAAAATGGGTCATAATTTTTATAGAAATGATTTGCTACATGAAAAAAAATAAAAAATATTATTGGATACTTAATATTTAAAAGAAAATTACTCTAGAAATACCTTAAATTCTTAAATGTAATATATATATATATATATAAATCTACTCTTATAGTACCACATTTTAGAGCATATAGCGTACCCCGTTCCCATTCCCGTTCCCGTTCCCGTTCCCGTTCCATGTACCGGAACGA